CAGGGCGGTCAAACAACGTTTTTTTTGGAAAGGACAAAAAAACGACATCCGACTGTACGTCAAGTCGTGTCACATTTGCGCGTGTACCAAACCACTAAACACGCGCGCAGACGGCCTCGCGACCACCAGAGTACCCCGCCACCCCTGGGAGGTGGTAAGCATAGACCTCATGGGCCCCTACCCGCGCACGAGTAGGGGAAAACAATATATACTGGTCGCCACGGATTTGTTTAGTAGGTGGACCGAGGCATACCCCCTCGGAACAGCCACTACAAAAACAATAACCGAAACGCTCGAACGAGAATTCTTTTCACGTTTCGGATCGTAGCAAACGATATGCGTAAAGCGATCGAACAGTGGGGAGCCGAGGCTGGACAACTCCGGTATATCACCCGAGGGCCAACCCAGTCGAACGCCGTAACCAGGAATTAAAAAAAGGTCTACGCGCGCTACTCGCCAATGGCAACCACAACACCTGGGACACCAAATTAGCCCCCATACTATTTTCAATCAGGAACAGGCGCAACGACAGGACAGGATACCCACCGTCGGTACTCGTCCTCGGGAGAGAGGGCAAAAGGCCCGGGGACTGGATACTGTCGCGGACAGCGGAAAACCCGATCGAACAAATAAATATGGACAGGGCTAGGCGCGAAAACAATGTACTTACCGCACCACCGGCAACAGGTGGCCCGACGGACACAAAGTACAAAACAGGTGACACTGTGTACTACAAGGCACACCACCTGTCAAGCGCGCACAAAAAGTTTCACGCCGGCTTCGCACCGAAATGGTGGGGACCGGTGAAACTACACAAACGCGTAGGCAAAGGGGTGTTCATCACAGACCAACAGCCGGCACGCAAAATACACGTGTCCTGCCTCAAACGGGCGAACACAACAGAGCCCCAACAACCCCCACCCAAACCCCCCACACCATAAACACTCAATAGCATCTTTATGTACTCAATTTCAGTCGGCTTAGCATCACACCACCAAATGGACCAACCACAACGGCCGACCACACCCTCCACCCTCCAACAAGCAGCGGCACTTCTGGAACGCAGCCACTTTGGAGGAGGGCACGACAGTCACCACGGCGGCCAGGGTATGGCGGATGACCAATGCTCAACTCCAGCGGGACCCGGTACTGTGGGCGGCCTACAAACGAGGGTGGGAGGACCGCACCGCCGTGTTCAAAAGGGCGACAAGCGGCGCACCCACGGCGGCCGCACGACACACCAGGTCGCGAAGCCCCAGACGGGTGGCACAGGTACCGGCCAACACCCAAAAGGCGCAGCCACGGACGCCGACGCGGGCACCCGAGAGGCCACCACCAAGGCCGCTGATGGAGTGGCCAGTTCCAGCGCCGAGGACAGCGACCAGGCCATCAGCAACATCCACCTTCAAGCCGCCGCCACCCCCGACACAAGCGGCAACCGCACCGGCAACACCACCTGCAGTAACGCTGAACGCCCGCCAACGCCGGAACCAGCAGCGGAAGCGGGACCACAGGGCCAAACAACAACAGGCATCCCAACAACACCGCCTGGAAAAGCCGGCACCACCCCCAGCCCCAGGCCCAGAGACGGTCCTGTCACAGCCAGGGCCAGCGTCCCCGCACCTCACCGTGGTCACGGTACCGGAAGTGACACACACTTCCGGAGCGACCGGAGCCACGGATCAACTAGCGGCTGCCACCCCTCAACCCGAGGATATGGAAATATCCCCGGAGGAGGAGGCACAGCTGTTAGGAGGTACGGGCACACACCTGGCTGACCAAGAGGACATGGACGTCAGTCTACTGTACTACAGCCCCCCCACATCGCCGAAACGCGATTAGACACCGCCAGGGCTACGTCCGCTGAACACAGCCGGAAAACGTACCCTCGGACAGGTGTCTACCACAACCACCATCCACCCACTGACCCACCACAACCACCCACCACTCATGACAACGCAGACCGCCGGTAACGGCCGGAAAACCAACGCCGTTGGCGGTTTGGGGGGGGGGAGTATGACGCGGTTTGAATTCAAACAGCCTTTGCGCGGAAGCCGCGCCGCGGCTTCTCAATCAAACCGCCAACCGACGACGGACGACGCCGGCCGTCCAGCGAACCGGATTGCCAAGGCGCGCTCTCTCGTCTTCACGACTCCGACCGACACTGATCGCCGCCGTCTTTTTGCACGAACTCGCGGATTCGATATTTCTTTTTTTTTTGTGTATTAGATTATATTGAATATTGACAGTAACTGCTGAACCAATAAAAAGTCACAACCATCACCTGTCAGTGCGTTATTTGTTTCTTTTCTTTGTACTTCTGTACTTCGCTTGTTTGTTTTCCGACTCGACTGCTCACCGTCGATCACCACAAGCACCTCATCACCCACGCGGCCCACAGGTACGCGTCAAGGAGGATCTGTGTGAACACTACTACTCCTGATTTTAAAATAACTTAACTTAATGAGTTAAAAAAAATCGTTAACTTGCCCAGCCTTGATAATATATAATATATTATATACAAACCGTCGGGGGTTAAATGTAAATACAATATATAGTGTCTTAACTCTTAAGCTGTTCCTGGCGTTTTATATTCATCCACTCACATTCACGGAGTCGAAGTAAATTAATTCGTTTTTAAATTCAACCGACATCACTAAACAGTTAAAATTCATAGGTTGTATAAATTCGAGTTTTCCCAATTGAGTAAGAAATCGAATTCAAACGTATATCATCAATTCGAACCGAAACGTCTTGAATTCAGTGAAAGGAGTATTATTTGTCTTTCAAAAGTCTTATATTGTAATTATTAAGATAAAATAAATATACTCAACGGTATATTACTACGGTGTTATTATTCATACAACGATGTTATAATATTATTTGCATTTATTTATTTATTTATTTGTTATTAATAAAAGAGTTGCTTCGAAAACTCAGTCCAATTTAATCAAATTAATTTTCTCGTATCGGAAGTTTTACTGGAACACTGCAAACAATAGATGTAATAATATACATTAACGTTTTTACATACACTTAAAATAATTTTTTTATAACAACAAAAATAAACATTAAGTAACTATAATTAAATTTATTATACCATATTACACTGAATACGGCACTGAATCTAAATAAGTAGTAATAACACATAATATGTATAGTTATAATGTTCTACGTTCACATTTAATTACCACTAATAACGTAATCAATAACGGTACTTACACCGACCTACCATTTTATTATGATAATAATGTTGTAAAATATGTTATTAGAACGATATTCTTCCCCGAAATCTTCCATAAAAAATATACGTAGGTACTTATATGAATATTAAAGTTAAAACCGCAAAGTTATAAAATAAATAACTATACCTATACGGCTATATCTTTGTAGTAGGTACATTGTTTTTTATCAGACTCAATTCATGTTAATTACTATGAAAGTCGTCATATTATATAATATAATAATATAAATTATAAACCATGAATAAATATTATTACTTATTATTATATATGGTTTATATGCATATTACATACTATCATATCTTTGTTATTTTATAACAGATATAACAAAACATATTTTCTAATTATGCCAATTACATACATAATATATTTTTATTTTAATTTAAGTATAGAGAGAACGTTATTTTTTTTTGAATTTAAGTTATTTATTTAAGATACAGTATCGTAGTATTTTTCTTAAACTCTTTTTTTTATACCTATATAGTAGGACAGGACTCACAGGACTCGTAAGTCGTAGGAGTTTCTGAAAATTACATTATAGTAATATTATTATTCGATTTCAAACATAGACATAAGTTGTAGACTTAACTTCTAATTACATAACAGCATAAGAAAAAAAAACAATCCATATAAGTATAATAAATAATTGTCGTAGATAATTGTTCAAACATTATATTATTACGTTATTATATTATAATTGGTAATTTAATAAAAATAAAATAAAATAAAAATAATAATTTTTTTTTTATTATTTGTTCATTGAAACGACCTCTAGGTCTTCGTCAGTGCTTATGACAAGTGGGTAGTAGGGAGATCATGTGATCTATTTATCTATGTATAAATATGAATTATGAAGGTATTTCTATATTATGAAAAATAAAATTGTCAAAATCCTTTAAAAAAAAAAAACCTACGTGTTTAAAGTTTTCCAAACTTTAATTCTATTGCATTATCATAAAGAATAAAAAAATAATGTATCAGTGTTGACGATTTATTGTTACTTAGTATTTCGTTAAAGTACCTACCTATACTGCACCGCATATATAAGTAGGTAATAATTAAGAATTAATGTACAGTTTTAAGTCACGCACGTTTTATTAGATTGAGTAAGTTATACACAATCTAATTAATAATAATTAGCCTATTTTATAAATGTCATTAGTATTTATATGCATTTATTTTAAGAGATGTATATAGAAGCAAGTTTAAAATAATATAATAATATTATGTATGTATAGGTTAACTAAATTAGGTACGTATTAAAGTATTAAATTAAATATCAGTACATTATTGTGATCTCAAAATATCAAAGCATAAAAATGATGTACGTATTCTCAATAATTACACTCGATATTTCGCATCCAACACAGGTTATCTGGTTCAAACCAGCTTTTGCAATCGTGACCTGTTTCCGGAGGGCGTTCAGCTCGGCTACAGATGGAGGTCGACGCAAGTGGGTACCGTGTTCCCTTCGGAGCACTTGACCAACTATTCGGTGGAAGCGTACTTTTTAGTTCAAAACGATCAAAATTTCACCAACTCTCAAGTACGTATATATGGGGTGATGTGAACTGTTCGTTAAAATTATAACAATCAATTTCCTGACATTAGATCAAAGAATTTAAAACGAGCGAGAACCAACAAGAGTGGATCACGCTGCCGTTCTGATGTGTTTACAGAGGCGACGAAGTGCAAAAATTCGAGAGCGAAATCGGCGACGTGACGGGATCGTTGAACATAAAAAGAGTATTGGCCACTATGTTTCAGCTGAAATTGAATTCCCTGAGGCGACAGTCGTTCGTCGCACAAGAGGTAGGTACATAATATTAAGTATTGACGGACGAGACCTTTTACGGCAGCGTTCCAATATTGAACGAAGTTAATGTGCCGAATCCTTGATAAATTATTGATTTTTGATTTAAAAAATCTAAATTCCTTTTTTGATTTTTTTTTTCTTTTTAAAATGTTTTATTCATCCCAGAGTCCCAACCCTTGATGAACCTATATAAAATATACAGTATTACACAGGTAATTTAAAACTAAAATTACAGACTGGAGTCTATGGAAAATGCAACGTTCAGTACCTTGTGACTAAAGCAAATAATAACACAAATGTAAAGAAAATAATCAACTTTTCGACATGTGACAGTAAACTTGGACAACAGAGGAGCAATAAACCGACACCCACGTGCCCATCGAGGTATCAAGTAAAGTTTAAACGAGCGTTGAGTTAAAGATCAAGATAATATTTTCTACGCCAAAATTCACTTAAATATAATATTTCTGTTATTTATAAATATTAAAATTTTAGGACGGGAGTATGAGTCATAGTGTTAGAAATTATAATCTGGACGAGATGAATGTGATTCAGTATTTGAATATTATCGGTACAGTAGAGTTCCAACCGTTCCAAGCGTTAGCAGAATATCATCACATCTTTGTGAAGTAAGTCATTTTACACACAAATAAGATTCATTATCACCAGATTCTTATAACAGCCAAACATTTTAACTGGACGACATTTTTCCGATCGGTGAACCTATCACGCTGGTAGCAAAGTTGGACGACTCGATTGAGTACGACTTTAATCACTATGAAGATCCTACAATGGGTTTCAAGCCGTCCAATAAGTCTCTTCTTTTGGAAGAAGTAATATTCATATCGTAGATTATTTTATTACCTAATAACTATAGTGTCAATAAATTACGTATTATTATACACCTATAATATATATTATTTTATAGATTCTTGATGCACTCGGTCAACTCACAGAAAGTTTGAGCTGGGAAATTGGAACAACTAACCTAGACAACCAGACTGAGTTCAGGGCTTTAGAACTCTTGTGGTGGTTAGATACATCTAATTATTGGACTACATTATACGACACGATAAACATCGGAACCAGTTACTCACAAGAAACCATACAGTTCGTACGATTTAAACTGGTAAATTATTATACCTGTGTGTCAATATTTTCCTTGCTCTTTTTCTAGACACTTTTTTTGGGATTTGGTACCATAAGTTGGATCAGCTTCTTCAGTTGAATTTATTTGTGAACTAATAAAGACACAAAAAATAACGAGCTTTTTGGCCACTGGATTGTTAATAACTTTTCCGTACCACGTTAGGTATCCAAACGAAAAACTCTTAAATGAATCCGAAATTTTATTGTATCTCGATAGAGATCTAGAAAACGAAGTGAGAAAAGTAGACATTTTGAGCTTTGTTTCGTTGATACATAAAACGTGTGGTAAAGGAATGTGCTCAGACGATACGCAGAACAAAAACATCAAATTATTTTTAGACAAATTCATAGGTCAGTAACATTTTGTACAATCGTTTTTTATTTTAGTATTTCTTTTATTAACATCGGCGTATTCGACTTTTGGTACAAATATTATATAGGTTGACTCAACAATTTGTTGCTATAAGCCAATTTGTTGGTTAGGCACTCAATTGATCAATTAGTATTTTATTAATTTCACAAACATAATTATGTAGTTATGTATAATATTTTTATATATCTACTCATAATCAATATTAATTTTACAAATTATTGTTTATCAATTGCATAACCTGCAACAAGCTACCTATAAAGTAAAAATACTAAGATATTTAGTATTTATTTAAACCTGTATACAATTATTATGATTAATTAGTATTTTAGTTGAATTATTAACCGATAAATAGTCTTATTCGTAAATCTATCATTGCTACTTATCTAACTATTCATGATATTTAAATTTTTTTCACTGATGGGCAATGCACACCATCATATCTTATTAAAAAATTGTTTTGTTAATATTAAATAGTAATGAAAATAGTTTTTCATATTGCGTGAAATCTACAGTTTTGTTGGTTATAAGCTTACGATTAATTGTAATTTGTATTGTTACAAGTAGTGTTGTTAAAATACGGTATTTTATTTTATTTTTGTATTATACTGTATTATACCTTGTATTATACGTGTATTAAACGTTGTATAATACTATTGTATTTAAGTAGGGTATAATAATTTTTTGTATTATACCGTATTATACCGTATTATACACATTTTATATGGTATAAAATCCTGTATTTAAATATATAATATACAATTATACAATTTAAACTTGATTACTCAACCATTGTCCATTTCCTATTTGAAATTGAGTCTTATTAATACAAATAAAATAGTAATATAAATTAATAATAATATAAATTAAATTCATTAGTAATAACAAAGTCAACAAGTAAAGTAATAATTAACAATTTTAATAAACATAAATAACTCTTTTGGTTTTTTTTTCTAAATAATAACTAAAATAAATGTTTAATGTAAAAAAAGTAACAATAGTAATACTTAAGTCTTTTAGTTTCCTGTTTAGTATAAAAAAAAAAATAATAGAAAATAAAATAAAACCTTTTTTTGTTTGTAAATATAAAATAATAGATTTTTAATAATCGTCTTCAGAATCAGATAGACATAAATTAAACATAATTTAAACAAAACGTGCATTCAAAGTATTCTGATTTACCTTTTTTTGTCAGTGATTTCTTAAAATATTTAGTAACAGCTTCTTTATATTTATTAGGCCGTCCCATTTTAACTTTTACTTCACACTTTTTACTTGTTAGTACTTATAGTAGTCTTGAGTTAAGAGTTATTAACAGTACAAGTTTGTAGTTAACGGTTGTTACAAAAAAAAAAAGATAAGGAAAACCTCTTATTTTAACCACTTAGCGAAAAAAAAAGTTTTATACAGATTTTATACCATTGTATAAAATAATTCTATACAGCGTGTATAATACCAGTATAATACGATTTTATACATTTGTATTATACAAATTTACATCACTAGTTAAAAGTCAATCGATAACTCAATTGAAATCATTTTATTTCCTTGTATATGTATATTCTAAAAATATTATGTTTTAGAATCCACTTCACACAGTCGACAAATGCTGTTCGTCGAAGCGTTCAGTAACATGAAAATCAACAATATACTGGACTTTTTACAACCGATTATTACAGATCATAACCATTCTAGACACATCTGATTAGTCGCTATTTGGGCCTCGAAATCAGCCACTATACTGCCCACCCAGAAAAGGTATATTATTATTTCAATATCGTGTTGTATCATAATCTTTAATAGTTTAACTGATAATAAGCCAACCGAAATAACAATTATTGTATTCGATTGTCATACAAACGTTAACTCTACGCGTTAATCGTATTTAATTTTTTATAATATTATATATTAAGAATTCAAATGCTTATAATATGTACAATAAAATTGACTGATGGACGTGTTAAATTATAATAATAATAACGTTTCATATATTTATATAACAAATAGTTATAAAATACCTGTGGTTTATATACCTATTCTCAGGTCGCTGAAGTGTTTTGGCCGATATTGACAAACCACTCTGAACCTATTGAAATCCGAACGTCAGCGCTAAATATGCTCATGATGTCCCAGCCGACTGTGTCTCGGTTTTTGACACTCTACTGGTTCATGCAAGCCGAACCCAGCCAACAGATGTATAACTTTTACTACACAACCATCAATTCGATGGCCAACTCCAAGTATCCTTGCTATGACAAATAGTAACTTAATATCTACATACAAGGAAATATTAGAGTGCATTTATTATGTCGTTGGTCTCAGTAGTTTTTTTGAGATTTTTCTATTGTTGTGGCTTGTGAAACTAAGATCTTGGATTTTTATCGAACGAAAAACTATACCTAATTTATTATTTTAAAGGAACTATTTTATTCAATAAATAAATATCATATATTTATTATAGGGTAAAGTAAAATGGAAATTTTAAAATACTAATAATAGTATAGTAATTATTATTATTATAATATTTTTTAAAAAACAACACGTCCGGGACAGCGTGTTGGACGGCGTTACGTATAGGCAATATAGGTACATATTTTAAAATGTTCATGTTTGACTCAATATTTCACACATTTTGTGGAGTGGTAAAAATCGAAAATTAATACATTATTCATTTAAGCTTTATATATTATTTTATTTTATCAGTATTTACATTTTTTTTCCCTCAAAAATTAAAAAATCGCCAAGTACAAAGACATGAGAACTGTTAACATTATAAGCATATTATGTTTATCTACGATACGTACAGTTAAATTAAATTTTTTACCTCAGCAGAAAAATAGCAGCGCAAATTGTAAGGTTCGTGCAGCACAAATGGCATCACTGGTCCACCGGAAACTACCTGTTGGATTACGAGGAGCCGATGAGAGGATACGGCGGAATCGTCCAGGCCATCCTAATGGCCAACCAGCGCACCGGGTTCCCGTCCGTGCTCCGGTTGACACTCGTTCGGCAAGTCGTCTGAATTTCAGATTCACCTAAAATTTGAAGGACTGGCTGACAGCTTGAAGAGGGAACTGTTCAATACCATGGCGAAACCGTCCGGTGAAACGACCGACGCGCTCAAGCACATACAGGAAGTGCTTGAAAAGGCTAAGTTCACCATCCGGGAGGACGAAGACCTTCACTTCGAGACGATTATCAAAATCAACGAGCAGACCATCTACTGTCACCACTTGAATCAGACCACGTTCAAGAACTTCGCCCTTGGTAAGTTAGTGATACACTGATACTGAGTGTTTCGCAGTGTCCATCAATGTCAATAACTATTTTTCCAATCCATAGAATATTTGAACTTGGGGGAAATGGATCAAACACTGATCTTATTGTTTCCGTGTTTTTTTCACAAATATGGTATAGTTAAAACTTTAAGATTTGAATTTTCAATTAAATACCTAAATGGCTTTAAGTGGCTAGGTCAGCGTAATAATAGCTATATCTACGAATTGAGTAATAACTACAACCAATGCCAACAAACAGGTTTCATACGACAAAATATAAACCAATGAGTAGGTACTGCAAGCAATTTGGTAAAAATAAATTATAAGAATAATTATACATAATAATTCACCTAATAGGTACCTATTATAGTATCATATTATAACCAGAAATTATTTCAGCAATATTGCATGATGTATAGCAGAGTAGTAGGTATACGATTACAAATAATTCATAAACGAAAATTTATCATAATTATCATTTATTTATATTAATATCTGGGTTTCCTTTTATATTTGAAGGATTTTCAATACATTTTTCAAAATAAAATACAAATAATTGTATTGCACAATATTATTATGTTTGTTATTTATGTGACATAACTCCAAATATGTACTTGGAAATAATATGTGCTTAGAAGGATAAATAATAGTAGTGTATGTATTTTAGAGGTGTATGCTCTTTAAAACTTTTGTATAGTACTAACTAATAAGTCCCCCCTCCGATAGCCACCAATGATAATGAAGCAATATTATAAAGCGTACCATTTTAAATATAAAAAAATATACTTTAATGTAATACGTAACAGTAACATTATAAGGTATTATTACTATTATTATTGGCTATTATTACCATTATCTAGAGGTCAGGCTGGTAGCGAAACTAAATATTTAAATTAGGAGTTAAGTTTTTTCGTTTTAATTCCAAAAATATTATTCACTTGGACTTGGACTACTTTACCACTAGGTATATATGTATGTATGCTTACAATTATTTTACTTTTTACAGAATTAAATTTATAACATTATATATTATAGAGATTAGAGATGAATTTTAAACTATATATTTTAGTTTTTATAAAAAATTCATTAATTCCCATTTTCTATGTTGATTTTGAAAATAAGAATATCACAGCTATGCATATTTTATTAATAATATATTATGTTATTAGTCTTAGTAACTCGTGTTATTATTCTTAGAGAAATAATCCATTTCTCTTAAACAAGGCTCAAAATAATTAATAAAAAAACTAGTTAAGTATTTTGATTTCCCTCATAAAATTTGCTGATTGGCGACATCATGGCGTAAAGTACAAAAAGTCGACGACGATCCAAGTGTGTACACGAACGATGAAACACACACACAGAATTTTGGTTACTGAACAAAAATATACAATAATACCCACACGCACAGATTATAGGTACATACAAGAGGATGTACTGTAGATAGTAGTAGGGACTACATACCGGTATAGTTGGAATGATTACTGGTGCAATCGAAATAATGATAATAATATGAGTAGGTAGGTAAAATAATAAATTATATAATTTAATTATGTTGAATGGCGATCAAGTGCTAATTGCCGATATAGCCTATCGATTAATTTATCAATTTTTTCGTGTACACATCAAAGTATATCAATTAAGTAAGTATAATATTATTCTCAATTATAATCATGACTGTCGTACTCGTAAATCGTAATATTAGCAACAGAAAAATTATGATGACATATCTTATATCTAGAGGTCAGAGATATTATTTCTAGTGGATTAAGATTTGAGACCATTATATTTTAGATTTGTCATCATTATATTTTATTTTATATTAATATTTATAATATTATATGGCCCCTGAGTTAAATTAAATGACTTTTAATCAACATTTTTTTCAAATGCCTTTGATATGGTAGATTTTTGTTCTTTTTTTGTTTACATGAGTATATATTATTGTCAATTATTTTTCGGTTGTTTTATTATTTTTTTTAGGGTTCCGTTCGTTTCCCTACGGAAGCCTATTACTTTCGCTAGGTTGTGCGTCCGTCCGTCTGTCGCCAGGCTGTATCTCATGAACCATGAAAGTTAGAAAGTTGAAATTTTCACAGATTATGTATTTCCGTGAATGATATAACAACAAATACTAAAAATAGGGATAGGAGCAACCCCGGGGAGTGCTAAAACGAGAATTTTGAGATTTCAGATGGAAATTTTTGTTTATAAATAGTTACCACGAGTGACGTCGTATTGTTAATAAATGGTTGCCATGAGTGACGTCGTATACAAAGATTCGTTTTATAAATTTCAATACAGAATGATAGTGAATCGTTTTAAGTTACAAAATTATACGGAACCCTTCTTGCGCGAGTCCGACTCGCACTTGGCCGGCTTTTTTAAAAACACTTGATAAAAATAACCGATAACAAGTAAGCATCTCGTTATTGTTATAATGGGTTATAATTTATAATAATTATTGGTGTCGAGCAGATTTGAATTTTTTCCTATATCCGATAAACCGATGGTCAATATTAATTGTTTTACTTATTACCTATATTGCAAGTAATATTTATTATAATATCATACCTGTTTGTGATCTTTATGAGGTCAGAGATATAATTTGTCTTCAAGATATTATTTCTAGTGGATTAAGATTTGAGACCATTATTTTTTAGATTTGTTATCATTATATTTTATTTTATATTTATATTTATAATATTATATGGCCCCTGAGTTAAATGAAACGACTTTTAATCAACATTTTTTTCAAATGCCTTTGACCTTCCTATTTGATATGGTGGATTTTTGTTCTTTTTTTTTGTTTACATGAGTATATATTTATTGTCAATTATATTTCGGTTGTTTTATAAATTTTTTTAAAATCACTTGATAAAAGTTCTTAACCAATAAAATTGAAGTTAACTGCATGTGTCAGTCATATTAACTGAAATGGAACGTTAATCCAAATATAGTACCTTAACTATTTGAAGGTATTGAAATAACTCATTGGAATTGTAATTTTGAAAATCGAAGTTATTTTGTTTAATATTTTTGAATTTTTAGTTTTACTACAAGTGTAAGCCATTAACTGAATTATTTTAACAGTTAAAATAAGTATAAATGAACGTTGTTATAACTAGTTATGTAGTTGATTTATTCATGATAAAATAATGTTATAAATATTATAAATTATAATATCGATATCAATTATTATATAGTTATATATTATATTTATAGCTTAGACATCCTTAACCTCTTCAATGTTAATACAAGAATTAAGGTAGGTATAGCCTATAGGTATCTGCATTGCTTCAGCCTGCAATTAAAATGAATAGTTAAGTCTTAACCTTAAGTAACAATATTATAAAAAAATTAATACTGTTGCCTAAACAATACAGTTAACTAATTTTTAAGTCTTACTATTTTTACTATTATGGTAGTATAAATAAACTGTACATTTGTACTTTCGTAGCTGATATAGTTTTTACTTGTTTGGAACATTTGGAGGCATTTACTATTATTTAAATAAAATAATATCAATTATATATTATAATTTTGTCTTTTATGTAATCTCAATAAACTTATTGTCGTATTACTAACGATAAACAGGTATCGGGATGCAATTCATATACAAATTACCGTTAATCTTAACTTAATAGTCAAATAATAGGTACCTACTTGGATCTCCATTTAAATAATATCGTTTTCCCATTATGGGTACTGTTAGGTAGTGGCTCCGTAGATTAGGCTGTAGGTTAGGAATTTCCACTTTAAGAGACACCGGTATGCGGTTCGAAACCGAGCCTCAGTATATATGAGGCGTTATACGTATATGTAATTTTAAAATGTAATAGTGTTAGTATAATATTTAACTCCACTTATGACCCATTCAATCAGAAATATAATTGTTATAAAAATAAGCAATTCTCATGATCTAATTAGGTAGATATATTATGTATGTACTTATTATGATTATTTAATTAAAAGTAAATAGTAATACAGTAAAACTTCCATCTTACAAACTTCTATTTCATGAAATTTTTTGTTAATACATATCTTATTTAGAAGTTAGAACTATAACCGAATACATGTAACCAGCTGTTGCCCGTGGCAAATTAAATAATACGAGTGAATTTGCCTCATCTTGAACTCCGTTAAATATAAAGTATTAAGTAGTAATAAAACTAAACATGTTTAAAAATCTTTTGGGTGGTTACAGTTCTCAACTTATGTCCAATCATGATCACAATTTATTTTTCTTAACCAATAGTTGCTAAGTAAACAAAAAAATATTTGATTTTCGTCAACTATTAAAATGCGCATTTCACACAATCCTTTCTTAGTGCGCCTATACATAGTAAAAGTAAATTTGATAAAAATATTAGGTTAGTTTGTTTGACTTCATATTTTATATAATATACAGATTCAATTTATTATACAAATATTAAATTAATTATTATAATAATATATTTACTGTTAGAGTATCGTCAAAAGGTATCAAAAATGTTAAATTCCCTTTGTACTCTTTTGTATTTGATGTAATTTTACTAATAAAAATATTTAATTGAATCTTATGGTTTTTTGTTGATCCACAAGGATATTCTTTCTCAATACCACACGATATTCTCCCTGTAATAAGAGTAACATTCATAAAGCATAAATGTATGTAAAAATGTCATGCATCATTTGTATATATCAATAACAATTAATTTATATTTTTCTTAAATCAAGAAGATAATTAATTTACCACTGGCATTTCGGCATAAAAATGTTTTTTGATTGTGACAGTGAGAGGTTTTAAAATATTTACTATAGTTAATATAATAATTAAAAATAAGTTCAATAATTGTTATGATGGATAATGGATATGCTGAATTTGATTTCAATGACAAATATTATTGTATACGAAAAACGATTGTGCGATAAGACCGTCGATCAGTCAATATTAATATTTTATGATATGACTCATATCAAATTAATTAATTTTACTATTATTAATATAGTAGATACCTAATTTACCTAATTACCTATACCTACCTAAGTTTATATTTGACCAAAACATTGAAAATATCATTGGATGGTATAAAATATATTTACATACTTATATTAAACATATTATAAAAGTTTCAAGTAGGTACCAAAAAATAAATAAATAATATGTTTGTTTAAATATCTAATTTCATACAGATTTGAACTTAAAAATATTACGTCTATAAAAAAAACTCAGTTAAATTATTTATAATATTTGATTTCAGTATGGACTGTAGTAACGAAAAACCTTGTACTCAAATTTCAAGCTTGAACTGTATAAACTGATAATTTTATAATTTTTTATAAAATGATTTTACAAATTCTCATGATTTTGATGCATTTTCTCAAAATTTGAACTTAGAATATGTATAAAAAAAATTGTGCCTATGTAAGTTTCTTTATCGTTGTAATAATAAATTATGAGGAACCTTGTATTCAATTTTCAAGGTTTTTAACTTGAAGACCATTTAAAAATTGTTTATACTACTATAAAAATTACTATTATGTGCATTTGGTTGACCTGTTAAGAAATCAGCGATTCCACCTAGATCTGACGTTGAAATACTCAGTTCCTGCGGTGCTACAATCAATTCCAACCAGGGCTTACATTTGAAAAAAAATTCGTTTTATGTTATTTACAATTGAAATGTCACAAATTTTTTTTGTTTATCGTTACATAAATATATATTGCTATATGGATAGCTATAAGGTTAGTCAGATTTACTAAAATATCATAGTCAAGTTATTATAGTTATTCGAACTGAAATAACCTATTTTCACTAAATTTTTTAGATAATTCAAACATTGAAAACTCCGTTAACTATAAAATATAGTGTACATTACCATAACAAACAATTATATTTATATAGTAATAATAAGTAAACCATTTTAGTTATTTTAAATATTAAATATGGATTCCTACTACCTATAATTTGCTTAACTATAATATTATAATAATTTTTTTTTCAGTGTACGTACTTCAGAATATTTGTTTGTTCATAAAATAAATACACACAATACACAAATATTTATAGACTATACCTGGTTAGAAAATGTTAGGTAATTTATGCCAAATAAATATATTATATAATTTTATATAGTTATATCATACGAAATCCATTATTTATAGGTAGTATTTAATATTTATATACTTTATAATACACATTATTGTAACTGTATAACTATAAATATTTAAAATTGAATCTTTCATACTAACTTATTCTGATTTTGCTTTAATATTCTTCAAATTTTTCCAACTATATTTGCGAATCATTTTTATGAATATATAATACGTTATAAATAGACTCAAACAACTAAAGACTACCGTCACAGCGATGACGTCCAATAAAAGGTATTGGTACCAAGTTAGATTAAATGAGTGAGGCATCAAATGCGGGGCACCTTTATGACGAATTACATATTCAGTCCAGTAAAGTATTGATTGTTCAGGAGACATCGGACGGTTTTTGAATATATCGGAAGCGATTTTTGCATTTCGCATATATCTTTAAAATACATTTTTGTTAAAACCATGTTAAATTAATATTTTAATTGTTTTTTCAAAAATTTAACTCACTTTTCATTATTTACTAGTTCCAATACATTTCTCAAAAATGTATCCTTTTTCACAGATAAAATATCCATGGAAATGGCCATTCCGGCATTAACCAAGTTGTCAATGTTCCTTGGCTGATCGTAAAATAACGGGAATCCAAGAACTGGAACTCCAGCATCCACTGTTTCATATACTCCTGAAATACCTCCGTGACTGATGAATAATTTTACATTGGGGTGCACTTAAAATAAAAATACAATTTTATAAACAAAGTTCTCACTCGAGTAATACACAGTACATAAAACAGAAAATATTACATAGAATTTCTCGTTGAGGTAACCATTTTCTTAACATTACGTTTTTTGGTTTATTCACCATTTCTCCTTCATATTTCCACAGTATTCTTTGAGGAACTTGGGCTAATGCTTCTTTCAGTGGATTTATTATATAGTCAGGAGATGTAGACATATTAACAATTGAACCTAATGTGAACAAGATAACCCCATGTGGAGAATTTTCAATAAATTCTAATATATCCTAAAATTAAATTAATTATACAGTAATAATCTATAGTTACTATAGTTATAACATATGTGTATACGCACATGTGATAGTGTAAGTGCAACGGGTAAATATGTATTATTTAATATTTTACTTACATTGGGTATACTCTTTGGAGGTTTCAAATGTATGCCGCCGACTTGTATGACGTTTTGTGGAAATGGTCTAGATGCCTCACTTATGAAATGACTATTTAGAAATGTCAACGACGGTCGTACAGTACTTGTGTCCAAATCATATGGTCTATTCATCGTATACTTTCTTGTCCATTTGTCAAAATTTAAAAGCATCATACTGTACCAAAATAATACAGTGTTTGAAAATCTTTGTAGAAATGTCTTAGGAATGGCGTGATCAGCATATAAATGTGAAATTGTAGCTGCATTTGGGATGTCACCGGAAATGACTAATTCTTCAAATGTTATCATTGGCGATGAAACCAAATATATCAAAGGCAAGGTTAACTCATTAGCCAAATAGAATTCACAATCGTAGCTCAGTGTTTCAATAATGAATACGTCGAAATTTGAATTTCCTTTTTCTTCCATTATTTTATTTAACTCAACACTTTTAAACATTGCATCACATATAATGGTACGTTTTTTTCTAATAAAGTCGATCATCAAAGTCGGAGATGCGAAGGTTTCCACTACATCGATTAAATTCATTTCTAGAAATTTTAGATGATCATTAGATGTATCTACTTCAGTATAGTTGTCTCGGTCGCCTTCGGGAAATGGTGTAAACACAGTGACATGATGGCCATTATTTGACAAAACACGAAGTATTGAACTGACGTAATTCCAATGACTTCTGCCGGCAATTGGGTTTACGGCTAATATTCTTGCTGATTCTACCGGTAATATCCACGAGCAGACTAACGTATAAGCCAAGCAAATTGAAAATATATATGTGTAAAACGTACTCCGTTTTTTCGTCATAATAAGATTGTTAATTATTAAACGTAGATACCAATCAAAAAAATATAATATTAAATTTTAATAGTGTTAGTATAATATTTAACGCGACTACCAGAATGAAAATTGAGAGTATTGATTATTCATATTATTCATTTATACCTGTGCTAATTGATTATTTTACTTCGTTCTTAAGTCAATAGAACTGATTGACGACTATTGTATTATGTTATAATTATTGTGTAGTGCAATCTAATTTATAATTAAAAATAACTTTAATGTAATACGTAAAAGTAACATTATGATAAGGTATTATTAGTATTATTATTGCCTATTATCATTATCTAGAGGTCAGGCTGATATATTGTTACAATAGCAGTTGAAAAATATTAAAAATACATAGGCACAGTTTTTTTCTATAAGCATTTAAAGATCAAATTTTGACAAAATTTATCAAATTTAAAATTGAATAATTATTTTGTAGTTAAAAATTTATAAAATGTTCAACTTCTATATATCTAAGGATTGAAAATTTAAAACAAGATTCCACGTAAGTAGTTTATTCTGTTACCAAAAAATCTAAAAAAATACAGAAGGACAGTTTATTTTTATAGTCATTTTAAGTTCAAATTTATACGAAATTACATAATAAAAAACCTACAATAACTATTTTAGTTATTTTGTTGTGATTGTATAATATTATTCGTGGGTACTTGAAACTTCTAAAGTACACTATTATATGTCTATGAAAGTATCACGGTTTTTTATTGATGTAAAACCCGTTTTAAGTACCTAATGGATATTGTGATTAATTTGGAATTTATGATAGGTATAGGTCAATTTTTTTTTAATCATATATATAAGTATATAATATGTCTTAGGCTGACATACCGTCTCCGCTCAGAATCGTTTTTCTTATACAATGATAATTATATCATTGAATTCAAATTTAATACCATCCATCATACAGTGAATCACTTGTAACCTACTGTACAGCACAGCAACTTTTTTTTATATTTAGTATTACAAATAAAAATTGTATACCATACGCGTAACGTGACTAGTAAGTGTCTATAATCCATTTCTCTTAAACAAGGCTCAAAATAATTAATAAAAAACTAGTAAAGTATTTTGATTTTCTTCATAAAATTTGCTGATTGGTGACATCATGGCTTAAAGTACAAAAAGTCGACGACGATCCAGGTGTGTACACGAACGATGAAACACACACAAAGAATTTTGGTTACTGAACAAAAATATACAATAATACCACACGCACACATTATAGGTACATACAAGATGATGTACTGTAGATAGTAGTAGGGACTACATACCGGTGTAGTTGGAATGGTTACTGGTGCAATCGAAATAATGATAATAATATGAGTAGGTAGGTAAAATAATAAATTATATAATTTAATTATGTTGAATGACGATCAAGTGCTAATTGCCGATATAGCCTATCGATTAATTTATCAATTTTTTCGTGTATCAAAGTACACATCAAAGTATATCAATTAAGTAAGTATAATATTATTCTCAATTATAATCATGACTGTCGTACTCGTAAATCGTAATATTAGCAACAGAAAAATTATGATGACATATCTTATATCTAGAGGTCAGAGATATTATTTCTAGTGGATAAAGTTTGAGACCATTATATTTTAGATTTGTCATCATTATATTTTATTTTACATTAATATTTATAATATTATATGGCCCCTGAGTTAAATGAAATGACTTTTAATCAACATTTTTTTCAAATGCCTTTGACATGGTTATTTGATATGGTGGATTTTTGTTCTTTTTTTGTTTACATGAGTATATATTGTCAATTATTTATCGGTTGTTTTATTAATTTTTTTAGGGTTCCGTTCGTTTCCCTACAGAAGCCTATTACTTTCGCTCGGCTGTCCGTCCGTCCGTCTGTCGCCAGGCTGTATCTCATGAACCATGAAAGTTAGAAAGTTGAAATTTTCTCAGATTATGTATTTCCGTGGATGCTATAACAACAAATACTAAAAAAAGGAATAGGGGCAACCCCGGGTAGTGCTAAAACGGGAATTTTGAGATTTCAGATGGAAATTTTTGTTTATAAATAGTTACCACGAGTGACGTATTGTTAATAAATGGTTGCCATGAGTGACGTCGTATACAAAGATTCGTTTTATAAATTTCAATACAGAATTATAGTGAATCGTTTTAAGTTACAAAATTATACGGAACCCTTCGTGCGCGAGTCCAACTCGCACTTGGCCGGCTTTTTTAAAAACAATTGATAAAAATAACCGATAACAAGTAAGCATCTCGTTATTGTTATCATGGGTCATAATTTATAATTATTGGTGTCGAGCAGATTTGAATTTTTTCCTATATCTGATAAACCGATAGTCAATATTAATTGTTTTACTTATTACCTATATTGAAAGTAATATTTATTATAATATCATACCTGTTTGTGATCTATTTTGTATTCACTGATTTTTGGATAATTCATACGTATAAACTCTGATCAACGATTAAAAGCTTAACAATTATTTTCACAATAAAATGTGTGTGTACATAAAGCAACAATAATATTATGACAAGTGCTTAAGTATGGATTAAAAATTAAAATATATAAGTTGTCATGTTTATTAAAACGAGTGCAGAATCACAATAAAAGTACCTACTCAACGCTTGAATGAATCATTATTAATTGAATAATACTATTTATATCAAGTGTCAAAACAGTACACTGACAAAGTGACAAATAAGAAACAATTGACAAATAGAAAACAACAATATTATTATTTATTATCGGATTTTTTATTTGTTATTCTATGATTATATTATTCAAAATATAATAAATAAGTTACATATAAAATTACTCATACAGATACAGGTGTACCTGGAAGACCTGAAAAAAAATGATGATACTTAAACATATTATGACAAACATTGTGAAAATTATATGATTAAGAAATATACTCGTGTCAGGTTTTTCCAATATTTTGAAACGAGTTATTTTATTACGTTCTAAATTGATGTAATCAAAAAAATATTGATATTTTCAAAAGTTCTTAATTCTAATAAATAAACTATGTACTTGACTTAGATAAATATTTTTACTATCAAAATATTGTTCTTATAATCAGATTTACAAATTTTCTTTTTTGAATTTTATATCATATTATATTTTTTTATTTTCAGTAGTAATAAATAAAATAATTTTTTTTTATGTTATACGTGTAGCGCAAGTGAATCTAAATTGTATAAATAAAAAAATATTGATTAGAATAAAAGTTATTTTATCTTTCAAGTGTCAGTTACTTATAGGTCTTCTGTTACACTCTGTATTATAAGTAGGTTATAACCTATTTTGCATAATATAAAATTATTTGATGATATCATAGATATATTTTAATAATATATTATACCTATTTAACATGCATTATATTATGACATTATATCAATTTATACAACACTCCTCAAAATCATAAAATCAATTAATTATTATCTTTCAAACCTATCTTGTGTTTGATATTTTTGTTCGTTCTGGCTGAATTTAATGAGTATGTATTCATAAATTACGTGTGTATATTATTATATTAAGTTCGTTATAAGCCATAATCTGTCTACATTATAATAATCAGAGTACTTATGCGTATAAATTTAATTGTTAAACATTTGAAGAAGACTGCTGCGCTTTATTGTCTCGCATTATCGGAACATTATCAGAACTTATTTAAATACAAATACACACATATAATATATATATTTAGACAATCTCAGTTAATTTTTGAAAAATAAAACTGATATACAATCACATATATTATATATACAAATATATTCATAAATTATGTACTTTGATATTATTTTAGTAGAATAGGATGTATACTTGAGTTTCTTTTTAGGACTAAGATAGTTTGGAAAGTTAGTTTTTTTCGTGCTTGACGTAATTAGCATATAAATGGGAAATAGTCGCAGGATTTAAGACACGTTCTTCAAATGTTAAAATTGGTGATGCAACCAAATAAATCAAAGGCAAGTTTAACTTACTAGCCAAATACGATTCACAATCGAATCCCATGGTTTCATTGATGAGTAAGTCGAAATTTGAATTTTCTTTTGATTTTATTATTTTATTTAAATTAACACTTTTAAACACTGCGTCACACATCATTATGAAATCGATCATCGCCGTCGGAGTTCCCCATTAATCTACTGAATCAATTAAATTTAAATCTCATAATATTGCATGATCTTTTGATATATCCACCTCTGTATAGTTATCTCGTTTGCCTTCGAGAAATGGTGTAAACACAGTACATTACACCTCATTATACGTTTAGTTCTAATAGCTTCGATTAACGAATTCGGATGTCCCCATAAGTCCACTGCATCGATTCAATTTATTTCTAGAAATGTTTGCTGATCATTAGATGTATCTACTTCCGTATAGTTGTCTCGTTCACAGTCGGAAAATGGTGTAAAAACAGTGACATGATTGTCATTATTTGACAAAACACGAAGTATTGAACTGACGTAATTCCAATGACTTCTGCCGGCAAATGTTTCTACGGATAATATTCTTGCTGTTTCTACTGGTAATATCCTAGATCCGAAAAACATATAAACTAGACAAATTGAAAATAAATATGTATATAACGTATTCGATTTCCACATCATAGTTATTGTTAGTTATTATAGATACTGCGAAACAGGCGATTTAAATATTGTAAGTGTTTAAAGAATAGTAAACTATTTCTGAACCATTCGTACAGAATATAATAATAATATAATACATAATATTATTCGTGGGTACTTGAAACTTTAACCTTTAAAAGTAAATCACAACAAACTCACTTTTAATCGTTTACTAGTTCTAATACATTTCTCAAAAATGTATTTTTTTTCACAGATAAGATATCCATGGAAATTGCCATTCCAAGTTGTCAATGTTCCTTGGTTGATCGGAAAATAAAGGAAATCCGAGACTGGAACGATAGCATCCACTGTTTCATATACTCCTGAAATACCTCCGTGACTAATGAATAAGTTTACATTGAGGTGCACTTAAAATCAAAGTACCACTTTATAAACAAAATTCAAATAAATGAACATAAGTTTAAAAACCTAAAATGTATGTCGTTGTTCAGAAAATATAATCACTTAAGTCAATTAAAACAAAGGCGAACAAGTGGTGATAGAACACGGTATCTACAGTTTTTATAGTTATTACATGTGAGTATACGCACACTTGAGTGTGTAAGTGTAATGTGATGTAATATATAATATTTTATTTGCATTTGGTATACGTTTTGGAGATTTAAAATGTATGCCGCCGACTTGTATGAAGTTTTATGGAAATGGTCTCGAGTCTCGGCGCCTCACTTATGAAATGACTAGGTATTTAGCAATGTCAGCGACGGTCGTACAGTACTTGTGTGCAAATCGTATGGTATATTTATCCTACACTTTCTTATCCATTTGTTAACACTCAAAAACATCATACTATACCCTAATAATGCAGTGTTTAAAAATATTTGCACAAATGTCTTAGGAATGACCTGATAAGTAAATAAATGGGAAATTGTTACTGGATTTGGTATGTCACCAGAAATAAACCATTATTGAAATATTACCATTGGAGATGATACCAAATAAATTAAAGAAAAATTTAACTACTAGCCAAATACAATTCACAATCGTAACCCAGTGTTTCAATGATTAGTAAGTCGAAATTTAAATTTTCATTTTCTTCCGTTATTTTATTTAACTCAACGCTTTTATACACTGCGTCACACATCATTATAAGTTTAGTTCTAATGAATTCGATCATTGCCATCGGAGGTCTAAATAAATCCACTGCATCGACGAAATTTAATTCAACTAATGTTATATGATCATTTGATGTATCAACCTCTCTGTATAGTTGTCTCTGTCGCCTTTGGGAAATGGTGTAAACACAGTAACATGATGTCCATTATTTGACAGGACGCGAAGAATAGAACTAACGTAATTCCAAAGACTTTTTCCAGCAATTGTTTCTACGGCCAATATTCTTGCAGATTCTACTAGTAATATCCTCGAGCCAATGAAAGTATGTACTAGGAGAATTGAAAATAAATATACATATAATTTATTTGGTTTCCTCGTCATATTTAAGTATTGTTAACTTAAGACACCAAACAAAAAAAAAAATTAATTTATAACAGTTTATTTAGCTCCATTTCGACAGCATGTACATTTTCGATTTTTCCAATTTTGATACATAGGTATTTGGATATTGCGTATTTGCGGACACATAGTTTTTTAGTAAAACTAAAAAAACTGTTGACATGCTGGGGAAATGGTTCAAAAAATTAAAAAATTAACTTTCTCTAATTTTTATTATGCCACCATTTTGCGGATAAATCACGCAATTTCGCGGACTTATTTTCAATTTTTGCGGACAAATAGTTTTTTAGCAAACTAAAAAAAACAGTTGCAAAAAATTAAAAAACCCCTTACTTCACTTTTTAGTATACCACCATATTGCGGATAAATCGCTCAATTTTGCGGACTAATTTTCATTTTCTGTGGACAAATATTTTTTTATCAAACTAAAAAAACATTGGAAAAAATTAAAAAACCACTTATTACTTCACTTTTTAGTAGATCACAATTTTGCGGAAAAATCGTGCAATTTTGCGGACTAATTTTCATTCAATAAATATTTCAATTTTACATATTAAACCAAAATTTTTAAAAACCGAGAAGGTACTTCATTTTTAATATTCATTTTTTTACATGTTATTATTTTTATGATTATCAGAACCTGGATAATAGTTTTTTCAGTTTGTTACAATCTTTATCTGTATTTTGCTATACCTTTTGATTATAAAATAAACAAATGGTTTCAACCTTTTATTATTTTAATCCTTGCTTTAAACTATATATAATATACTGCAATAGCCTTTTATTTTTAAAATTAAAATTAGACATCATTAAAAATAGCACATTAAATATTTGTAATGGTATTATTTAAGTTTCCTTAGTGTATAAAAGAATTTGTACACCACATTCTGTTTATCTACTAAAAAGTGAAGTAAGTGGTTTTTTAATTTTTTGCAACAGTTTTTTTAGTTTTACTAAAAAACTATTTGTCCGCAAAAATTGAAAATTATCCGCAAAATAACGTATATATCAAAATTGGAAAAATCAAAAATGTACATGCTGTCGAAATGGAGCTAGTTTATTTTATAGAATATTGTTCAACTGTTTAAAAACCATTCGTTCATAATTGAAAAAAGTAAATAATGATTACTAATATATGATACATTAATACTTGTCTTGTGTTAATTCTTTACAACAACTAATAGATTGTTATACATTCTGAAATCAATATTTTATACTGATGATTGACGGCTTATGTCATAATCTAGTAGGCGTAGTTACTATCTATATTATAGTTACAAATAATGTATACTCTTATGCAATTTATAGAATAAAAATCATGATAAGGTACTATTATTGTTAGGTATTATCATTATCTCATGGGTCAGAAAAACTAAACATTCGTATTAAGACTTGAGATTATTTTCCTATAATTCCAAAAATATATGTCGCTGGGACTTGACACTTTTCACAGTTAAATATGTTATTGATTATTTTACACAATTCAATTTCTAATATTATATTTAAATTCATTTTTAACTTGATTTTAATAAGAGTTAATACAAAAAAATAGTAATCAGTTATGAATATAATAGTAATTTTTATAGTATATTATAACACAAATGTGATTAGATATTGGAACGGTACCACATAACAATACCAATGATGTTACCATAATATAAGTATCTTTATTTAGTCATATTTACATTTCGTCAATTTTAAAAACAAGAAAATAATTATTAGAAAATTGTCTTAATTTAAAATTTGAACTAAATGCTTATATTAAATATTCTAAACATTATTATATATATACTATCGATATTCTAAAACGACTATAAGGAAACTTATAATAAACCTTTTATTAAATTTGCAATTTAAAATTTAAAATTTGATACATTTTGTCAAAATTCAAACTTTAAATGCTTATAAAAAACCATGTCTATTTATTTTTAATATTTTTAAACTGCTCTTGTAACAATATATCAGGAGCATTGTACTAAATTTTCACTTTTTTTGATCCAACAAATATAATTTTATTGACATACTTTATAGAAAAGAAAAAGTAGAAAAATTTAAATATTTTTAAAATGGTATCATGTATTGGAATTGATAAAAGAATCATATAACTGTGGTGTAAATTCAAAGTATCTACAGTTATTCGTTTTTGAATTACAACAAAATAAGAAAATCGCTACAAGAGATAATAACGACTAAATATCCAATGTTGTAAAAATTTCAACTTCAAAGTTCATAATAATTTGATTTAACTTTTTGACATTCTTTTTTGATAAAGGTAGAAAAACTTAGATATTTAGATTTAAAAAAGAAAAATTTGTATGAATAACCAACTCAAAATAATTTGCATATATTCATGATTTTAAAGTATTTTGTCAACATTCGAACTTTAAGTTAAAATGCTTATAAATCAACATTGTTATTTAGTATTTTTAATATTTTTCAACTGCCATTGTAACAATATAATACTAGGAAACATGTATTCCATTTTAAGCTTTTTGACCTAATGAATATTTACACTTTCATTGACATTTATAGAAAAAATATAAAATAAAATTGGAAACTAAAAATGTCTTTACACAGCTCAAAACAAGTCAAAATATTTTGAAAATGTTATGGTGTAAAGAAAATCCTAATATAAATATTCAGTAAAAACTTCATGTATCTTCTGTAATTTGTTTTAGTTACACCAAACTTAAAATAAATGTTGTTTAAAACCGATTTTGAGTGAAAACTCCCATTTCTCCTTAATTTTTTTGGTTTTTCCCGGCTCTTTTGAAAACTACTGAGAATTTTTACTATTGACGACCACAAAACTCCCAACTAGGTTCACTTTACTTCCAGAAAAGATGTTGTGGATTATCTAAGAACTATTATTGTCCTAAAAGGTAATGGCATATAATACATCAAAAAAAAATTACCACACACATTATTATTAAATCAATTTATTTATCAAACGATTTATATTTGTTATGTATACAAAAAGTCAGATGATTAAAAATAATATACAAATTGTCTTTATATAATACTATAATATAATAGTACATTCAAATACAATTTCTGATTTAAAAAAAAAAAATTTTGTTCGTCTTTGTTACAAAGGAAATAGGTTGAATGGCTACACCTAACCTTACCAAGAGCTGGTGGATTACAAGATAAGCACAAGATGTGTTGGGCACATAGCAGTTGTATTCAAAACCGTTTTTGCAAGGGGCTGCTCGACTATCAGTACATAAAATAAAATCTATAACTCCAATTTATTCCGATTTTGATTTAATATTCAGAACATTTTTCCGAATAAGATTATTTAACATTATTATACATTTATATGCTATTAATAGACTAATACATAAAAATACTATCATCGCAGCTATCACATCCAACAAAAGGTATTGGTACCAAGTTAGATTAAGTGAGTGAGGCTTCAAATGGGGGGCACCTTTATGGCGAATTACATATTCAGTCCAGTAAAGTACTGACTGTTCCGGGGACATCGGTCGGTTCTTGAATATATCCGAAGCAATTTTAGCGTTTCGCATATACCTAAAAAAATATGTTTATGTTAAAATCAAATACAATTTTCATTCAAAATATTGTCGTTTAAGTTAATTAAAAAATAAATCTCAACAAACTCACTTTTCATCGTTTACTAGTTCTAATACATTTCTTAAAAATGTATCCTTCTTCACAGATAAAATATCCATGGAAATGGCCATTCCAGCGTGAACCAAGTTAGCTATATTCCTTGGCTGATCGTATAATAATGGGAATCCGAGAACTGGAATGCCAGCATCCACTGTCTCATATACTCCTGACATACCTCCGTGACTGATGAATAATTTTACTTTGGGGTGCACTTAAAATCAAAGTACAACTTTATAAACAAAATTCTAACCCAGGTTATATACATAATACATAAAATAGAACATATATATTACATAAAATTTCCCGTTGAGGTAACCATTTTCTTATCATTACGTTTTTTGGTTTATTCACCATTTTTCCTTCATATTTCCACAGTACTCTTTGAGGAACTTGGGCTAATGCTTCCTTAATTGGATTTAATATATAATCAGGCGATGTAGACATATTAACAACTGAACCCAATGTGAACAGAATTACCCCATGTGGTGAATTTTCAATAAATTCTAATATATCCTGAAATAAAAATAATTATATAGGTATCAGAAGTGAAATTATTTATTTTTGCAAATTAAAATATGTATTAGTAATTTAGTTATTGTGATATTAAGGTTGAAAATATTTTTATTATAAATCATTTCATTAATTTCAGTGAAAAATAATGCAAAGTAATATACGATAATAGTATATTATTGTGTATTGTATGATTTAATAATGCTTAGTCAAATTGAACAGTATGATATGATGAATGACGTTTTAGACGAGTACTAAAGTGTAAGTTTAGATAATTTTAAACAATTACAATAAACAACATTTTTAATTTCATATAATTTGTAACATTTTGGGAAACATATATGGCTCATTTTAATCCGCTAGTCGGATCTTTTAAAACGAATTATTAACATTAACAACTGCTCTTTCTAAATTCAATTTCTATATTCAAAATATCATAAAAATATTTGACTAAGAGATATTAAATTAGAAATATGTTATTAAAACTCACTGTGTGAGTGTGGCAATTTCCAGGTTTCTTAAATTTATACATAAAACTCAATAAATTAAAAGAAATCAACAATAAAATATCAACAATCTTGTCTATGAACTGGTAACTAGCCGACGTACAGATACAACAGTGTTAGATAGGTACATAAACGTATGCTATTCTTCAAAAAAGATTATCATTTAAAAAAAGGCGGGTAAGTGCGGTACCATTCTGCTGCCCAGTAAATTTCAAGTGGTCAGTGGGATACTCGAAAGTTGAAACACTGTAAATTGTAATGGATGTTCTATATTTGAACTCAATGTATCTATCACTGTAAATGAAAAACGATTCTTAGTGGATACGATTTACAGCATACATAAAGTAGTACAATTTTACATATTTTGTAAATATTTGAATTGTAAATGCTTAAAAAAAAATTGTGTCTATAGATTGAATTTAATTTCAAGCTTTTTTAACCAACAAATAAAATTTAATTAATATTTATAGAAAAAATAAATATAAACTGAAAATGTCCGTTAACAGCTCAAAATATTTCGAAATATTTGGAAAATGTTATGGTGTATGAAAAATGCTAATATAAACATTCAGTCAAAATTTCATGTATCTAGGGTAATTTACTTAAGAGTTACACCAAAAACTAAAAGCTATTTGTAGTAGAATGCACCGAATACACTAACTAGATTCACTTTCCTATCAGAAAAAATATTGTTGAAGAAAATCCAAGTACTTTTACTGTCCTAAAAGGTGATGACAGACACAAAAAAAAGTAAAAAAAAAACACACATTATTGTAAAATCAATACATTCATCGTTAAACTAAGAATCTAAAATATAGCTTAATATTTTAAAAACCTGAGACATTGTAATAGTGCAGTCAATATGTGCAATGTTCATACATTAATTTATTGTAGTAGCATAACATTTAGAGTCTCAGACCTTGAGATTTAACAGTTCTTGCTTAGGTATAATATATGACCGTACTCCCCCCCAGTCTCCTTTATATTATGTATAATTGTATTATTTTACTTACATTTGGTATACTCTTTGGAGGTTTCAAATGTATGCCGCCGACTTCTATGACGTTTTGTGAAAATGGTCTCGAGGCCTCACTTATGAAATGACTATTTAGAAATGTCAGAGATGGTTGAACTGTACTTTTTTCCAAATCGTATGGTCTATTGGCTGTATACTGTATTACCAATTTGTCATAGCTAAAAACGATCATACTATAAGCCAATAACGCTGTGTTCAAAATTCTTTGAACAAATGTCTTAGGAATGGCGTAACCAGACAATAAATGAGAAATGGTCGCTGGATTTGGGATGTCACCGAAAATAGAACGTTCGGCGAATGTTAACATTGGAGATGAAATCAAATAAATCAAAGGCAAGTTCAACTTATGAGCCAAATACAAATCACAATCGTACCCCACATTTTCAATCATGAGTACATCGAAATTGGAAGTTTCATTATCTTCAATTAATTTTTTTAACTGATCATTTTTATACACTTGATCACATAAAACTGTACGTTGGGTTCTAAGGAATTTAATCATCGACATCGGATGTGACCATAAAGCCATTGTATCGATCAAATCCATTGGTACAAATTCTGTTCCATTTTGTCCATGATCAATAGACGTATCCACTTCAGTATAGTTGTCTCGGTCACCTTCGGGAAATGGTGTAAACACAGTAACTTGATGTCCATTCTTTGACAAAACACGAACTATGGAACTTACATAGTTCCAATGGCTTTTACCAGCTATTGATTCTATAGCTAATATTCTTGCTGTTTCTGCTGGTAATATCCACGAGCACATGAACGTATACATTAAGCAAATTGAACATATATAAGTGTATAACACATTTGGTTTCTTCATTATAGTTATTGTTAGTTATAAACACTGTAAAACACGAGATTTAAATATCGTAAGTATTTGTAGAATATTCAACTGTTTCTGAACCATTTGTTCAAAACGAAAGAATCGAATATCGATCATTATTTATAGTACTTATGTTAATAAATTATCAACAACTACTTGATTGTTAAATTATCAACAACTACTTGATTATGATATTATCTTAAAAAGATATTTGCATATTACAATTTGACTAATGTCTTAAAATACAAATGACTGAAGTATGTATTATTCTATAATAATTACAAATATAAAGTTCGTAATTCGCAACAGAAAAACTATGATGACATAATATCTTATATATTAAGGTCAGACCAACATTGTTTAAGATATTATTTCGAGTGCATTTTACCACTACAGTCCCTCAGCTAAATTTAATGACCTAAAGGCTAAAAGTCAATAAACAAGTTTTAACTAACATTTTTTTCATTTGCCTATGACTTATTAATCAGGTTAGGATCAATTAATTGATTTTTTGGATTTTCGTTTTTATTTTGAGCAATCGTAAGCAAAAAGAAGTGCGATCACTGGCTTTTTCCTTTCCTTACCCTATTCATCTTCAAATTTATTGTAGCACATATTCTTATTATGCCGTTGTGTATAATCTAGATTGTATATTCTATAGTAAAAATTAAAAAAAAATCGCTTTTTGAGCGATTTTAAATTGCAAACAAGGTGAGTAGGTAGTAAAAACTAAGAATAGTATAGGTATTAAATCGCTACCAGTTTTTTTCGGTTTCTAAAGAGTGGTATAATACACAGCCATATTATAGGTACCCATTTAATATTAAATATATTGATTATAATAGGCTAGTAATTTATTATTAACCATTATGAAGAAACAACCATTTTGTAGGCACCTAAAACCATCCCGTATATTATATTATGACGTCTTAATAGTTCTGAATAAAATATATAATATTATATCACTTTTTGCGATTCGAATACGAATTAAACAATTTGTTATACGGTTACTAAAGCTAGGTTTTAGAAACATTTTACAAAGTTTTCAGAAGAAATCAAAAAACATTTAGTTGTAATTAAAATTTTTTTTTCATAAGTAATACATTTTTTTAAGTATAATTTGGCATATTTTTGGTAAAATCTTGAGCAAAAATCGTGCGTATATGTTGCTTTTCGTACTTTCTAATTGAATATAATAACCTATTCATACGATATAACCTCTAAAATATTGCTTTTCGGGCGGCAACAGGTAGGTATAACTACTTTTTTGTGGCATAAATTCAGTTTAGCTGCAAAGCGATTTTTAAATTTTTTTTCGGGAAATCTATGTAATTATTTCAATGAATTAAAAAAAATAATGATGCCATTGAAATATTCAGTCATACTTAGTTTAAAATGTATAACTTTTTGAAATCCGTGAGTTTCCGTAATCCCATATGTTTTTTTCCAGGGATCGAAACCTTTCCAAATTTTAACAATTATGGTTTTGGTTTTTGAAAACATTTTTTTCATTTACCTAATAACTGCAGACCCGATTTTTACTATTTATTTACTATTAACTATTAAATTTCAATCGGTTTCAAGAACGATTTTTCAATATTTTATGGTTTTGGTTTAGGTTATTTGTAAACGGTTTTTTAAGATTTTAGGTTTCAGTTACGGTTAATTAACCGGTTTAATAAAGTGCTTCTGGTTTTGGTTCCGGTTACGGTGTTGAAATATGAAAAAACCACCTTTTTAACTGGTTTTTTCAGATAACCGGTTAAACCGGATTCGATCCCTGTTTTTTTTTCAAATTAAATTACTTTATTACCCAACAATAAAATAAAAAGTAAGTTTGATGTGTAATTTCCGATTCGACTAATACCTATGTTAAGGATGTAAAATCTCAAATTTTGAAAAATCGCATAGAAACTAAACTGCATTTGTTCCAATATTTCATATTTTCATACATTAGTTAACTTTTAGGTAAATCGTTTGGAAAACCAATGTTAAATAAACAAATTAAAGTTAAAAAAGAAAAAGTAGATATAAGTGAAATAAAACTATAATGTCTATGGGAAACACTATGGATATTGATTTTAGTTAATAATTAATTATGGCTGAACAATTATATATTTCATAATATTTTCTTTGCTACCTACCTATAAAATTGAATTGTGAATTTTATATTAGCCGTACCTAATTCTATTATATCTGTGTCACTACACAATTTTTATAGTACCTATATAGGTAGTGTTTTGTAAATTTACATTTTTCCGTCAATAAAGATAATAGTAATAATGATAATAAAAACACCTTTCTGTTTTTTGATGTTGAACTTAAATATTTTTTGTAATTATTAATATAATTTTCAGACGAATTTATGAAAACACTACCCACTATATACGTTTTTGAGCTGTAATAATTTTTTTTAACAGATTAAAGTTATAATAATATTTAAAATATTAATATATAATATACATTTATTTATGTTTTAATACAATCAATAGGTACACAATAATAATATGTCAATTCTCAATAATATATTGAAGTTCAGGTTTATTTAAATTCCTAGTTAAATTCCTGTTGGATAGACTATAGAGAATAACTATAGGTACTCTGCAAGTTGTCCAGAGAATCAACCGCTATATTATAATAGGTACCGGAATATACCAATAAACCTACCTAGCTACTATAATACTAGGTCTGATACTCGATATTAGTGCTAAACTTTTATTTTTTAAATACAACACAACCAGTGGCACATCAAGGATTTGTTTTCGAGGGGTTGTGCCACTTACATACATTATAATGTATGTGCGGTGTTTGGTGTTTCGATCGTAATTCGTAAGTAGGTAATCATTAGATCATAGATGTCAGATGAGCTAAAATTGATAAATACTGAAATGGGAGCATGAAAAGTCCACCACGAGAACCTTTTTTAGTGTAAACTCCGCCAGGAAAATAAAAAAAAGTAAAATTAGGTTCATGTAAACTCTGCCTGCACTGACAAAAATCAGGTAGAATTGAATTATTGTGAACTCCGTGGCCAATGAAAAAAATCAAGTAACAGTATAGGTACACTTTACAATTAATATAATATACAGATTATTATTAAACAAATAATCATAATTTTAAAATAATAATAATTACCCTTATTAAATAAGTATATGCCAAAAAATATAAAAAACATAAAAATTAAAATAACAATATTCGAACCAATCATACAAACTGCAATGGCAAGTATAAAATAATGATAGACAATTCTAATAAGTAATAATTAATAATCAAAAAAGATGTAATAATATTACATTATTATGACATTATATGTTATAAAAGTTATAATATTTTCAGCAGTGAACTAAAATTATGAGATACATTTTGTAGATATGCAAATCATTATGTCTAATATGAATCCATTATTATAGCTAGGTATTTAGTAGTTACCGTAGACCCCGTGATGTTTGTACGTAAGTGTATGATTTGACCCTAATTTTAAGTTTCAAAGTTATACCAAGTTTGTCATATTCCATCTATGGTGGATTAATATAATCAATTAATTCAAAATCCTAACCTAATCTAACCGTACTAATATCAGATGAATAAAAAAAAACCAAATTTAGTAATTTTTAAATTAGCCTGTCTTCTGCCCAGAGGTTTAATCTACACACAAACATTAATTTATATTATAAATATATGTATATTGACAAAAAATAATAATACAAATCAACAAACATGCTAGATTAACCAATAGCAACCAATATATAATACGCTGTTGTGCCATACTGTTATATTTTTTAAATCCAGATTTCCTACTTTTCCTGTGGATTTTCCTAAAATAAAATTTTCTTTCGTATCAACCTTCTCCTGATCATTACGAACATCTAAAAAAAATTTGAGCCAAATCGGACCAGCCGTTCTCGAGTTTTAGAGAGACTAACGAACAGCAATTCATTTTTATATATTATATAGATAATATTATAATAACCTTATGTAATAACATAGTATAATATAACGCAAATGCATAAAAATTCGATTAAGTTCAGTTAAATTCAATTAGGCGAAGTTAAAATATTGCGATGTTTGTTATAAGCGTGAATCTGCGTAAGAAAAATATAATAATAAACCTAACTGATAGTAGCTGGCTGAAAAGAAATAAACATTCGAACCACGGATACTACTTGACAGGCCGAATGTACCTATGGCTATATCGACGTTGAATAATAAACAAATATTATAATATTATTTAGTTTACCTACAAAAACAATATGTATTATATTTTATATCTGTAAATCCAGTGATTGTGTTACACTAATAAATTATTGGTAAAAACAAATTTTTCTTTTTGGCATTTCACGTTGCTTTATAATTTATAATAATATAGTATTCTCCAAAACGGACTGCAAGCGATAGCGATCACATTATGATGGAGATGATGCCACCATATATCAGAAAACTGTCAAATATTCGTAAAGTCGTAGGTAAGAATAATAACGAAATTATTAAACTCGGCGAAAGTGATCATTAGTGAGCGAATTTATATGCATTAAAAACCAACCAAATAAGCGCTAAAAAATCTTAAATATGCATAAATATATGCACTAAAATGTTTAAATATGTATGAAAACTAAAAATTAGCAATAAAAGGTATTTTTTGAAAATGTAATTAAAACAATATACTTCAAATTACGGAATCCTAAACTTTTCTTCATTTTTTTCTGAAATAATGTCAATAATGGTCTATGGTCGTCATCGATATTTTCTTATTTTGGTATACGTTTTATATTTCAACGATTATTGATCTAAGGTCATCTTTGATAAAAACGTTTATACCTACAAGTATATCTATTAATTTATTTTGATATTAATCAAAACAATAAAAGTATAATATTATTTTCTTATTCTACAATAGTATGTATCCCAAAAATGTCTATTAAAACATCGAAATATGCACTGAAGACTGAAAGATGAAATACTTATGCAATTAAAATCGTAAAATAAGCCCTTAAAATAGA